GTTAGGGGGTTGGGGGATGTGATTGCGGGCTATTTTGAAGAGGGTTGGGGAGAGGGGAGGAGGACGCTGGTGTTGCCTTGTTTGGTGACTGAGTAGACTGCGAGGAAGACCGACGGGATAGCTGTAGTTTTGGATAGACTGTAGCGATCGATGATACAAATTGACTTTCTTTCGTTGGATACCAACAATATCGGAGTCCCATTGGTGAATGCCTATAGTCGGGATAGTAGCGATGATGTAGGCAGTCATGTAACCTTAAACCGCGCGAGACTGCGGCCTAGGAGAGTAACCTGAAATAGCGGAATAGGCTTTCTAGGGAAGGCTACCTGTGGCCGGCTAACAGCAAAGCAGCGGGCGGGCTCTTACCAAAGCAGAGCTTTGTTATCTCCCACCCACACCGCCACGCATGGTGGAAGTTGCTCTACTGTGACCTGAATGAGGATGGCCAGTGCCTGCCCATATTATATACCACAGCCACTCCTGTGAACTATCTGCCACAACTGGCATCAACACAACCAGAACGAACCAGCGCAACAGTCGCAGCCAACACCAAGTCCGTCATCATGCTCACCAAGTCCTTTGCGCCATCGCCGTGTCGATGTATTGCACGATGGGCTAGCCTTGATTTTGGGAGAGCTGGGTGGGAATAATGGCCTTCTGGAGGAGGAATGACAGATCACATTGATTTATTTCACATGAGAAAGAAAGATTTGTGTCTCTATGGTCCCTTTGTTGTTGTTGCGGGATGGCGCAAGCAGCCCTTCGCTCCTTGAAAAGGGGTTTGCTACAGATCGGCACCATGTGTAACACTTGGCCGCCTCCTGATTGGATTGAGGGCAATGTCGACCATTTCTTGGCCTTGGTTAGTCGATTCTCGACTTGTGATGGGCTTTTTGGCTTTTATGTTATGGACGTTGGTGGTCGGTGGCCGGTGGCATGGTAGCAGAGGCATGGCGCGGCCCTTCCCTGAACCTGATCCATGGGGTTGGGTCAGTTCCTCAAATCCTTCCAGAGCCCGCATCCAGACCTATTAGCCTTCCCCCACCATTTCCCCATTCCTTCCTTTATCACCGACCGCGTGGTTACTCACAATGCCCGGAGACCACTCGCGAAAGGTACGGATTATCATCAGAGATATGTTACACCGCGTTCATGCTGACTTTTGAAACAGAATCCCATCTCGCCGCTGTCGCCACACGACCCTTCAGGACTTGAAGTCTACAATGGCCACCACACAGCTCCGATGCCCGTTTACCCGCCCTCGGCGTCCTCCTATACCGATACGCATACCCTATAAGTATTATCCGAAAGCACCTAGTGCAGCCCAACAACAGATCTCCGACCCACCAGAGAAGAAGCTCTGCGGTATCCGACACGGCGTTCTGGCGGCCAGCTATCATTGAAGTCAGCCACAAAGCAAGCTTGCTGCTTGACTCGGCCGAAAGTTGGAGTTTCAACCTGAAACGTTCATTTTGTTTCTAAATAAAACGTTGACTCGGCCTTTAAACTCTCCCCAACCTGCAGCAACCCACGCTGCACGCACAAGAACCTTTCTAAACTCGTCATTCGAAAGCAGAGTACTGACACGCAAGTAGATGGCATACCTGTTTGGCATACTGATTGTATCTGCGGTACGAATAACTCCTGTTTTGAGAAAGTCCCCAACTTTGGCCAGGTATTCCGTCATTATGATCTCAAGGGAGCAAGTTACCGGATCTGATGGTTTTCGGTCCTTGGGATCGCGCCTTAGATCCATGTTGCTCCAGGCAACCTGTGCCGGCGGTCCACCGATCACATGGCCGTCGCGTGATCTGACCTCGACCGGTGGGTACATGGACCAATTTACCGTCCTATATGTTGACCCAGTTTGAGTTCCTTGATTGTGCTATGGCGACTGCGAGCCCTGGGGGTGGTTGGTTGCGGGGCGGTTGTGGCTGATAGTCGGTGTTGTCAGACTTCCGCTTCAATTGCTTGGGTTGAGGCAAGGGCTTACAAGGGCAATGGCTGGGTTAGGTGGTTCGTGAGAGGTTCTGAGTGGCGGCCAGCACATTTGGAAGCGAGGCCGAATCAAGATGGGTGGCTCTCAACTTGGCTGACTTGGGGGCTGAGGCCTGGCTAATATACATAGGGTGACTGACGGTCGATGACTCTTTGCGGTGGTCACAATGATTGCGTTTTGGCTCTTTGCTGGATAGGATCTGAGCAGATATTGGAGCATCATCGCCTCTCACATGACAGGCCACCTCGTCAAGATCCAACCCCCAAACTCGCCCCAACATGCAGCAACCCATGCCTCCCAAGCGCCTCCCTGAACTCGCCGTTCGTGAGCGGAGTAATGATAACCAAGTTGACCGAGTACTTCGTCGCGGTCATCGAATCCACAGTGCAAACACCTGTCTTGAGTAGGTCACCAACCTTAGCGAGGGTGGCCCGCCGGTCACGAGGCCGTCGTGTGTCTTGACCTCGCCGGTGGTGAGATCGAGGTATTTGCCGTCGACTATGGGGCACCCGTCTGTTGTCCATGACTGCAGGGCGGGCTCGAGGGGTGGGTGAGGGATGAGGGATTGGTGTTGGGCGTTGTTAGGGTCCATGGTATTGGTTTGGGAAACGGTTGGGTCGGGGCAGTGAGTTGAGGATTTGATGAAAACTTTGACAAGGATTGGGTATACGGTTGGAATGGATATGATTTGTGTGTGTCGCTGTGGGAACTGGTGAATGATAGACCGTCTCGATTTGTCGCAACCAGCTTTCTGGTGGAGGAGCATTTGTTGATGAATGGGTTCTGGCACAGTGATAAGAGAGAGTATTCGGTCCGAGTATAATGCAATGCGGTCTGCATTGTTCCTTGTGGTGGCCTGGTCGGCTGCCAGCGGTTCGTGTTGTGATGAAGAGAGATTCTGTGCCCAAATTCGAAAGACTCTTGACGTCGACTAGTTCTGGCCTGATGACGGAAGCATGAGTATACTCACAGAGCTGTTCGGTGAGGTAGTTGTTAATTTACAGAGTATGATTGTGATTTGTTAACTCGACCCAATACTTTGGTTGAGCCGCCAACACGTAGACCAACAACAGAATTTAAATTAGAAGGCCCGCTGCTTCCGGGGAACCCGTCTTGACTTTCACCGTGACGGAGGGAATGATCGACCCGCTGATATCTCTTGACAGGCAGGAGGTTACTTTGGTCCTGTCATTCATCATGAAACGGGAAAGTGGCATAGGAGCGTCTATGTTACGACTGACTGTTGGTAACAATGCTGGGGAAACCACAACGTGTATGATCATGGCTCATGACACAGGGGACCCTGCACTTGACCAGGGAGTAAATATGACTTCATGCAAAGAGCCTCAACGGTCTAAATACCTAGTTGTGCCACATGTCGTGAATCTGTGAGTCGCAATGTCTCCGACAGTGTACCACCTGCCAATCGATTCGTGCCTAGACAAGGATGTCTTTTTGGAACACACTATTAAGTGCTAGGTTTATCTACACGGCCTCGCTTGTGTGTGTCTGTGTGTGCATATTGTTACTCCTTCGAGCGGCGGTATGCTGCAAAGCAAGACAGCAATCTCCCACCGACACTTGAAATAACTTCCTTTCAAGTATCCTCATGACCAGCATATCTGCTGCCCGTCAGCGAACAACAAAAAGCAAGTCCTTGCTAGATACTGAAGACATGATAGAGGCAAAGCATTGTTGTTAGGCGTCAAGCTGAGAGGGAGGCCACCTCAAAGTCGCAGCAAGCCAATTTCTGTATATATGTAAACCGCTTCCTCCCCCTCCTGAGACGGCTCAATCATCTAACAATCTTTCCACCATCGCATCGTACATCCTTCAGGCATCAAAGACTACTTACCACCGACCCTGTATAGCCGATATACTCTTCCAATCCCACCATCCAACCATGAAGGTAGAGAGACCACACGAACCCCTCTTTCAACAGCCCTCTAGTAGTAAATCCACCATTTAGATACCCTCCACTATCCAAATTCTCTTTTTGGGGCTCAACATTACTTTCGCTATAGCAGCGCCCATCGGAGCAGCCGACACCTCGCCCAACCCCAACCCATTACAGGCGTCAGGGCTACTGGGCACTCGAGTGCCACACCGCGGAGAATTGGAACAGATGCAACGCAACTACCAGTTGCCAGGGATCTACGCCCTTGACCAGGACTCCCGAGTGCTACTACTTGTGTGATTGCCAGTGGGTGTATGGGTGCGGTAACTTTGGCTGCAAAACGGCAGCGGGAGACAAGCCCGATGAAGCTGAGGTGGATGCCACGACAGAGGCTGTAGCTGAATAATTGCGTTATTGTGTTGTCCTTACGAGGTGGTGTTTCTGCAGATGTAGTGTTGGAGTTGACAGCTTGGAATTGTGAGGATAAGCAAATTGTATACTGCATGCCCAAGTATCAGTCGCCGAATACAAGAACCTCGAGACTCTGTAGGCGACCCAAGTTCAAAAGATCTTGACTTGTACTATACTTTAATAAGTCAATATTATCGTGGATCGACAGGGGGAAGGGATTGATGTTCCTAACTGCTGCGAGTCCTCAGCATTCACCACCCCACCCCATTTATTCCAGGTACACGCAAATGTTAATTCGACGAAAGACCTGACATTGCCACCTCGTGGCAATCGTGGAACTCCATAACCGGGGAGCCGACCTCACAGGCCGTGTTGACAGTGCATGTGACCCTTGCACATCATCCATCATTCAACACACACCAAGAACCAACACAAGCGCAAAATATTCAAAAACAAAATCTTTCATCAACTATCATCTATCCTAGATGACCATAAACAAAGCCATATCTACAAAAGCCAAAAGGGTATTCTCTCCTAGACGACCATAGCCGTCTATGTCTATAAATCATGAGTGAATAAAAAAAAAAGAAAAACTCTTCAAAAAATAAGAAACCATCATGCTTAGAAGCCTGGTATCATCCACCATATCATCCACCATTCATGTTCTCTCAATCGTCATCATCATAACCCCCCCTAATTATCAGCCTTCCTACTCGCGTTAACTCCATCCCCAAAACCACTTTCCACACCCCCCTCATCAACAACCGACGGACCCGGCCCTCTGCCAGGCAACCCCTCATCACTGCTATTCGTCATATTCCCGCTCTGCCCACTGAAATTCTTCTCCACATCCCTCCTCTCATCACCAATAGTTCCAACCTCAGTCGAGCTATCGCTCTCGCCGTGCCCAACAAGACCATACTTTCTCGCGTACCCTTCAATCTCCTCTGGCTGTAAATGCGGCAGCTCCTTCGCAGCCCGGACATAGCTCATCTTCTCTGCGTGGCCCTTGGCAAAGATGATGTCGATCTCTTCGAGAGATCTCTTTGCTGTCTCAGGGTAGAAGAAGTAAATGACCGGGATGAAGCAAGCGTTTGTTGCCGCAAAGAAGAGGTAGGTTCCCCAGCCAATGTTGGAGATCATGATAGGCGTAACCATGACAATGACAAAGTTGAACAGCCAGTTGACACAGGTGGAGACAGCGTTGGCTTTGGCTCTGGTCTTGATGGGGTTGACTTCGGCAGGGTAGAGCCAGGGCAAGGGGAGCCAGGTGGCGCCGAAGAAGGCAATGTAGGTAAACAAGCCCACAGCAGCGCCGCGAGCAGTCATTTCCTTGCCGTCAATGAGGCAGGCGAACGTGATGACCATGGAAAGGGACTGTCCCAAACTGCCGATGAGGAACATCTTTCTCCGGCCGACGCGCTCGACGATGAACCAGGAAGTGGTGGCGAAGATGGAATAAACGATCATGTTGACACCGCCCAGGAGGAGTGACATGTTGTGATCGGTGCCGATGGACTCCTCGAACAGGATGGGGAAATAGTAAATGACTGCGTTACAGCCGCCGACCTGCTGGAAGAACTGGGCCGAGGAACCGAGCAGCATGCGGCGGAAGTGCTGCGTTTTACCGTGCGTGAAGAGAGCCTTGACGGGAGTGCTCTTCTGGCCATAACCACCAGAGGCACGGAGAGAATCGACAATGAGGTTGCGCTCGAGCACAGCCTCGGGGCTTCCCTCTTCGTAACCACGGATGGCGGCGATGACGCGGTCAGCTTCCGCCTCGCGCTGGTGGCTCAGAAGCCATCTCGGCGACTCGGGAAGGAACATCATGGGGAAGATGATGAGCACGGCGAAGATGACCTGGAAGGCAATAGGGAAACGCCAGACAAGGTCATCGGGCCCGTAGGAAGCACCGTAGTCGAGCCAGTAGGCGATCAGTGTACCGAAAGCGATGACACCACCTTCGATACAGATCAAAAGTCCTCGATTGGACGTCTTACTGCATTCAGCTGTGGTCATTGTCAGTTGCCTGTTTCCTGTGTGATGACAATGTTGTGTCACTCACCCTGGTAAGTGGGAATTGTCGAGGTGTTCATGCCGTTTCCAACGCCCATGACAACGCGACCAACGATGAGCTGAGCCAGCGGGTTCTTATCCTTGACCGTCGCAACCTGAATGATAACGCCAATCAACATGATGCTGGCGCCCGTAATGATGCCTCGTCGTCTGCCGAGCAGATCACCAGCCCAAAGCATAAACATGGCGCCCGCCAGACATCCGATCTCGTAGATGGCCGTCACAAATCCTTGCATTGTCGAGTTGTCTTTTGTTTCTGGAAACATTTTGTTGAAAGCTGGGGCCGTGATGATACCACTCATCACACCTTGGTCGTAACCGAAGAGGAGGAACCCCGTCGTCGCAACAGCTGATACCATCATGGATAACGGCCTCCCAGAGAGGCCCATGAACTTTGGTGGCGCCATGGTCGTAACGATTCGGCCGTTGCCAGTGAAGAAGGAATGACTGATAACCTTGCTGGACGGTCAGACCCGGGACAGGCGCCCATCTTATATACCATAGCACCGCATGCTGGAAGGGTTGCCCGGCTCCGACCTGAAAGGTAACGGTTTCCGGGAACGGTCCCTTCTCCCGGCTGCTACGCAACCAGTGAGCGGCGAGAAGGGTGGGACTGTGTAGGATAGCGTGTTGGTCGAGTGAACCGTTGCCAGCCGCTGTCGAGCATCGTGGAGCGTGTTGCAGGATGCTGTCACTCGGTAACCCTCTACGTGCGGTCCTGTCGAGCCTGTGAATCGCATTGGCGGGCTAAGGGCATCCCAGCGGGGTGGGGGACGATCTTGTTCCGCCCATATTCCCAGATCTGGTGGGTTTTGTGTGGGTAGTTGTGGGTGTAAGAGGTTGGATTGTGATCATCGTTTCTGCATGGTGCAACCTCGGATGAAAAGTTTGAAGGGATATTCCCATGGCTATCCCAACGCGGATACGGTCAGAAAAAAAACTCTTGATATGAAACCTGCAGTTAGGAGTTATCCGTGACTTCGGCCAAGGTCCGGTTCGCAAGTGAAGGGTTTTAGGGGTCGCATTGGTGCGGGGTGCGATGAGATCATAGTTCAGATGAAGATTTCTTGGTGTTCGGGCCGGGAGCTTGGGGAAGCTTGAGCGGCAGTTGTTCACTTCTGGGCAATGGGAAATCCGCCAAACGGAGTTCACGGTGGACCGGACGAAACTCCGGTCAGTTCTAGAGAGTTGATAGGCCATCCAGTGTTTCATAGAAGTCTGGTTTCCGTTCATCAACATTCTGTGTCGCTTGAATATTTTTGCGGGAACCAACCTGTCAAACTTCACAGGGTCCCTGAACCCGCATCCCCAGAAATCCAGTAGTGCAGTTTTCTCCAGACAAACAGCTCAAACCTTTACCGAGATGGATTTTTTTCGGAGGGTCAATTGGCTGGGGGATCTGCATAAAGTCCCAGTTTCCGAGACGTGATACCACGCCGTCTTGCCTTTGGGGTGGACTTGCATGTGGATAATGATAACGTCACTTGGCCCGCTTTGCACCAAAACACTGTTCGTGTCACCTTCCTCAAAGCCCTTTGCCCCATGTTTCTCGGTTGGATCTCGGGCAAACCGAACTGCGGTGAATCAATCAGCCATTTTACTACTGTCTCACTTCATGTGACTGAATTGCCTCAGGCCATATAATGTGGGTTTGCCAATGTTGAGGTGGAGCGATGCGAATGGTTATCGTGTACATGGCTGTCTTTGACTTGGGAAACAGCGATAATTCTGCGACTATGATCACGATGGCCAACTAAGTGCCTCTCCCGTCAGCCAAGAAGAGTGGCCATGGACCAAGATCTAGCAGAACGACAGCCAAGGTAGCATCCCCTTGCGGTTTGTTGATGAGATTTCAATGAGGCAAACGCCATCCAGTGAGGCAGATGCATTTTCTGACACAACAAGGACCAACGGAAATGAACGGGTATAGAAATGCAGATAGCAGCAATCGGATCATTATGTCTGCATGTGCCAACAGCTGATACCACACTCACCGCATCCTCGCGCAGTTGAGTTGTATTCTATCATCCAACCACCGTATTCCAAATCATTGGCTCTACTTTGTTGTTGTTGGCCTGAGTCGTGCGAGTCTATGCTCCACACAGCCTTCCTGTGTAAGACCCACGAGCATTTCATCCCATGGACCGTGAACATCGGCCGCCCTGACCAGATGATGGGTCAACAAAATCTCGGTAGGTTCCGTCCATCCAACCCTTGTTACACTGGCACCTCATATTCCCTCTTCCCCTCCGTACAGAACAACACTACCACCGCCTCCGCACCCAACCCCAACTTCTCCCTCGCCGAAACATCCGCGCAGACTCTCCTCAACCCGGCCAACGTAGCCGCACCGCAAGGCCCAGCTTCAACCCCCTCATTCTCAAGATCCACCACAGCCCGATGAGCCTCTTTATCAGTCACAGCTACACCCGCCTCCACACCTTTCCCCAAAACCTCCCAAGCGCTCCCTGACAGTGTCCCACAGTTCATCCCACACATAATCGTCTCATCCCCCGTCTCAACCGTACTATCCTCTCCCCTTTCAAGTGAAGCCAACAAACAAGCCGCAGAATCCGGCTCGACAACCACAACTTTCACATCATCCTCCCTTTTGGCGTCCCTAAAAAACTGCGTGACAGCACTCGCGATAGATCCACAACCGCAAGGAACAAAAGCATGTGTCGCACCCCGTTGACCATCAGTTTGTTCCCGAATCTGAGTCTCGTACTCCGTAAGCATAGTGCTGTATCCCTCCACAACCCACTATTCCACTGTCAGCATAACAACTCAAATGTCATTGTCATCAGACTTGCGAACTCACCCCAGGAACTTTCTCCCCTCCCTCAAAACCCATATCCATAACCAACAACCTCTCTTTTTCCCTCCCCTCTTCCATCCCATACTCCCTCGCCTCGTTCGCAGCATCAACATACCCCCCTTTCACCACCCTAACCTCGGCCCCTAGCCCCTCGTTGCGTATCAGTTCTCTTGTGGTAGGATGCATATGATCACTCCCGAAAACCACGGTCTTCAAACCGAGATACCCCGCCGTCTTGGCCACCGCCCGTCCCCAGTTGCCTGCTGTGGCGGTGATTACCTTTAACTCTTCCAAACCCTTGTCGTGGATCACTTTCTTAATGTCATCCAGAGAGGGGAGTGCCTGGCTGGGAACCAGCCCAACGGCAAGGAAGTCAAGTACGGCGCGGTAAACAGCCCATGAGGCACCTAGTATTTTGAACGAAGGGAGCCCGAGCCGGGAGGCTTCGCTTTTGAGGTAGACGGCTTTGATACCTAGGTCTTGGGCGATGGAGGGAAGGGGCTGGAGGGGTGTGGGGCTGTAGGAGGGGAGGAGGGAGTGAAAGGTTTGGATCGTTTGGGAGGTGGTGCTGCCCAGGTCTGTGGGGGGTGAAGAGCGCCATGAGGTGGCGGAGGGGTTGAACTGGACTGTTGGGGGCATGATGACACTGGCAGCACGGCTGAGTTGGGATCTTCTTGCCGGAAGCTTGATGAGAAGGGTGGCGGACATGGTCCATCCCGAGTCCCCCGCTTGCACTCACTGCGGGGTTGTTGAGCTGTGGGAGAGGAACCTCCTGGAAGCACGGGCCGTGGTTGTGTGGGATATCATATTAGTAAGTCGGCTGTTTGAACTGGAAAACGCTTTTGGTTCAAAGGCCAGTAGGTCTACCAAACTGTCGAGTTCGATGTTCAACGATTTGCCCTAATACCTTTTGGTGTTCTCTGAGCGCTTTTGAGGGACAAAGTGTAATGTCATCTCTTTCCAAAACATATCCAAGTATTTGAGATTGAAAACTACCCGCTACTCACGCATCCACTTCGCTCCATGGCCCGAGGTTGAACGCAAACTTGACCTCCTTTTCCCTGTCCACCTTGACCAACAAATCTTCCCTCACCCCCGGACCGCAGGCGGCCGTGCCTACCCCGGCGACCTTGTGATCTAGCCTAAGAAGCGTGGCATTCTCCTCCACCAAGTCGCACGGATGCTTTGCGTCCTGGATCGTCTTTGTCGAGTACCGCGACACAGCAAAATTACATGGCACGTCCAGACCACTGTCTCTGTTGCCGTATCCATATATACCGGGCTCCGCAAACAGCCCCGATCCGCCGCTATAAGGGTTCACAATGGTAACCCACCGCGTGCCCATCCTGTTGCCGTTCTCTTGTGGGACGTCATAGGGTGTGTGTAGCTCTGAAACAGACTCTGCCGTCCAGATTCCCACCCGCTGGGCCGATCTTTTGTCGGGATATGACTCGCCCGGCCCGAGGCCGTGCCATTTGACCTTGTCCAGTTGCCTGGGGAGACACAGGTTGAGCCCGATGCGGGGCACGTGCTCAGGAGCGTAACCTGTGGCTTTCAGAGTAACGGCGATGCTGAGATTTCCCGACATTTCTATGGTGTAGGTAATTGTTGCATGGTAGCCCCAGTCGAGAACCGGAGGAGCCAGGAACACTGTAGACGTAACTATAACCTTCCTGAAGATCTTCTTGCCGTTCTCTCCCACGCAGTAATAATCTCCCCCAGCCACACTGACCGACCGGAGCTGACTGGTCATGGTGTCGACACCGAAACGCTTCCAGTATGGCACAGATAAGGCTTGATCATTGTCGGTAGGCGGACGCCAAAACGACGGCATAATGGCCGCGCCAGTTGTTGGATCAGGCTGCAGAAGCTTCTGACCTGCATGTGTCCAACTTGTAATGTACCCGGAGGTTTTGTCAAACACACAGGTGAAGCCGTGGCCGGTGATAACAGCCTCGGTCCGAGTGGTTTCAAAAGAGAGCCAGCCTCCGTCTTCGGCGTGAGGGCCCATAGAGTGCCCGTTGAAGAGGTGATGCTGAAACCATGCAACCTCGTGGCCGAGGGCTGCCCACGTAGTAGGCATCCTCAAAGCAAACGATATCGTGAGGTATACGTGGGGCTGGTGGCTATCCTTCCTCTTGCGCCAGACATGTACATCCTCAGGGATCGCGACTCGCACCGTTTCACCGGCTGGTATATGCGGGAGGTTCAAAATCCCGGAGGCCACGACACTCTCTCTAGACACCAGTTAGTCAAACTTGGGTAGGTGACAGCTTTGTACGAATGGTGGTTATCATACCTGATTTCTAACCTTTCGGCCTTGTAGGTGGCTGACAAATGGTTGAGATCGGAAAAGTCATATAGATTCGAAATGACCAGCTCATCTCCTTCAACAGTAACAGCAACAGGTTGGAACACTTTTTTGAGTTCCACCAGGCCCGGCGTTGGCTGATGAGCGCTGTTGACCAGACCGTCCATCACGAAAGTGCCGTCATTGGGTGTATCTCCAAAGTCACCGCCGTAAGCGTAGTACTGCTTGCCATCGCTGTCCCGCTTGAAAAGCCCGTGATTAGCCCACTCCCAGATAAAACCGCCTTGCAGGCGAGGGTGAGTTCGAAACGCATGCTGATAATCTTCGAGCCCGCCCGGGCCGTTTCCCATTGCGTGGGCATACTCGCACAAAATCACAGGCTTCTGGTAGGTACCGTCCGGTTTGACGCCTCGTGTGTTGGCCAGCTCTATGAGCTTGTCGACAGTTGGGTACATGAACGAGTACATGTCTGCAGACTCAGCCTGGGCATCACCCTCATAGTGCACCAGCCGCCCGGGATCCAGGTGTGTGGCAAGGGTGTACATTGCTTTGTGATTCTGACCATAGAATGCCTCATTTCCAAGTGACCAAATGATGATAGATGGGTGGTTCTTGTCCCGGTGTATCATTTGCTCCATGCGATCCAGGTAGGCGGCCTTCCAACTTGGATTGTTGCTCGTGTATTCGGCGGCCTTTCCAAACGCCAGCTTTTTACGTTCTTCATAGTCCATTTCCTCAGGGATATCCTGTGGGCGAGCGACCGCGTCATAGAATCCATGACATTCGAGATCCGCCTCATCGATCACCCACAAACCAAGCTCATCCGCAATGTCGAACAGTTTTGGGTGGCTGGGGTAATGGCTGCATCGCAAAGCATTGATATTGTGCCTCTTCATGAGAAGCAAATCCTTTCGTATGAAGTCTACCGGAACTGCTCTTCCGAAAACGGGGTGATGGTCGTGTCTATTCACGCCACGAAACTGTATCGGCTGGCCATTAACGGATATCAACCCGTTCTTAAGCTCAACCTTGCGAAATCCGATTTTCTGACGGACCACAGCTGAAAAGGTGATAGGGACACCCCCCAGCCTGTTGAACTGTATCTCGACCAAGTAGAGATTGGGGGTTTCGGCGGTCCACTTCTTCGGATTGGTGATGGGTATGCTTAGCTCGATCGATCCGGTTGATCGAACCTCCTGATTCACTACAGCGATCGTGTCCTCTCCTGGTAGAGTTCTAACAATGACTGCCAAGTCGGCTAGGTCAACTGTCGTAAAAACGTCGATTGTGGCGTGCAGAATAGCGTCCCTGTACTCAGCATCTAGGTCGGTCCGAAGGAACCTGAGGATCAGAACGCAGGGTTTAGCCAATGCGACGTGGACAATATCGAGTGTGTCCAATATACATACCAGTCTCGTATGTGGCCGGCGCGCTCATAGAAGAGAAGATTCACGTCACGGTAGATTCCTAGGACCAAACAAAGTCAGCCACTATTCTTTCGTATCTTCAAAGGTCCCCATGGGAGATGGATGCACTGCTTACCAGAGAGCCACCACTGATCCTGATCTTCAATGTATGACCCGTCAGACCACTGGTAAACTTTGACGATCACTTCGTTGGGACCCTCCGTGTCCAGCAGCTTGGTTATATCCCACTCGGCAGGGTTCCGGGACCCTTGCGCATAGCCCACTTCCTTTTTGTTCACCCAGACATGATACGCACTGTCAACGCCATCAAACCTCAGACGCACTTGATAGTCGTGAAAACTTTCCGGAAGAAAGAATGACCTGCTATATGTGCCGGTTGGATTTTCCGAGGGCACCATGGGGGGGCAGACGGGAAACGGGTACTGAACGTTCGTGTAATGAGGCCGGCCATGGCCCTGAAGCTGCCAGTGACCAGGAACCTGAATGGTAGTCCAGCCCTCGGACGCAGCATGCGAGGTATTGGCGGTCGGATCGGGACTTTTCGAAGGATTCGAAGCGTAATGGAAGTTCCACTGGCCGTTGAGTGAGAGTCTTGCCGTGTCAAGGTTATGAGACCGTGGAGGAAGCGTGTTGCGGCGGAAGACTTTCTCATTGCAATAGTCGGGCAGGTCTTTCGCTGCCATGTTTGCTGCTTGGGGGCCCGTGTTTCCAAGCTGGAAAGGAGCCGCCCTTGTTGGAAGCTGGGACATTTTTCTAGACCCCCTCCAGCTAGATCCTCGAAGTGTTTGGGAAGACGGGTTGCAATGGTGGTGGTGAGGGGTCTATTGGGGTTGAAATCGTGCCGCGCGACGAACATATGCGGGGGATCTTCAGTGTCCCATTGTTGTTGTCCACAGATATCCCTCCAATCAGCTTCAACATGCAGCTGCCCCGTAAAACATCATTTTGACCAAGCATTGAAGAGGTCTGGTAGATTTAGGAAAGCCTTTGCTTGGTCCCTGCCAATACCAGGACACGAAGGGCCTTATTTTGATCAAGCAACCTTTGATGATCTTTCTTGCCTTAGACAGGGACATAGAACAGACGTTTTCTTTGGAGATTTTGGTTAGCAAGAATGTATACAAGGAAACAAAACAGCCCCTCCAAAGATCAGGACAGGTATGGTGGTGGTGAGAGCTCAATGTTGGAGATGGCGGGGTTGATCTCAACAACGAATTCACCCATCCAATTACATCGATCGGGGATATCGGAGCCGAACGGCAACGCACCTGCTCAGTGGGGGTGGAATAGGCGGGGGATAGGTGGACCAAATTTTAAGTTACACTGATACATCAAGCGCCGGCATTCAACGAACAATGCCACCATGAAATCATGCAAGGCAATATCCGGCCCATTAAAGCTTCAGATCTTCCGGCATCAAGACCATAATGAGATGTCCTGTGCGGGGAAGCTACCTAGGTAGCAGTGGTTTGATACCACATCAATGATACCACAATGAAGTAAACGCTTCACAAAAGCAATGCACATCCCGAAGAGTGGAAGTTCTTCTTTCACTGACCACCGTCGTTCTCCTAGAAGATTTGGCCTTTCCCATTGCTAACCTTGAAGAAATCCATTAGAGTTTGCCGACAATATGGCGGCGAGCACAGAGAAGGCGGCGTCTTTCGCCGACCATCACGATGACAAGTTCCGCGACACCGACGTTGCCGTGCGGCTCGCCCACGATGTCGACGACACCAAATACTCCCCTTGGTCGGCAAAGATGGCACGTCTGTACCTTGTACTTGCAATAGCCTACCTCTGCGGATGTCTCAATGGCTACGATGGGAGCCTGATGGGCGGGCTGAACGGGATGAAGTCGTATCAACAGTACTTCAACATGTAAGATACATTCAGTTGGACTGTATGTGACACTCGCACCACCGTACTGACTTTGAATCACCAGGAAAACAGCAGGATCGAGTACCGGCCTGGTCTTCGCCATGTACAACATCGGCTCCGTCGCAGCAGTCTTCTTCACTGGTCCCGTCAACGATTGGTTTGGGCGCCGCTGGGGCATGTTCACAGGGGCTATAATCATCATCATTGGTACTTGTGTCCAAGCACCGAGTACAACTCCCGGTCAATTCCTCGCTGGACGCTTCGTTCTCGGATTCGGGGTGAGCTTTTGCTGTGTTTCAGCACCGTGCTACGTGTCTGAAATGGCTCATCCGAAGTGGAGAGGTACTCTTACGGGCCTCTACAACTGCACGTGGTACATTGGGAGTATCATCGCCTCATGGACAGTCTACGGTTGCTCCTACATTGGCACGCTCGATGCTTGGCGCATTCCGATTTGGTGCCAGATGGTGACTTCTGGTTTAGTCTGTCTGGGTGTATTCTGGTTGCCAGAAAGTCCAAGATGGCTGGTGGCCCAAGACAGACACGAGGATGCACTCCACGTCTTGGCCGTTTACCATGGAGAAGGGCGGACCGATCACCCCATTGTCCAGTTACAAATCAAGGAGATGATGAACCAAATTTCCTCCGAGGCGTCCGATAAGAAGTGGTACGATTATCATGAATTGTGGAACACTCATTCCGCACGACGGCGTCTGATTTGCGTTCTCGGGATGGGCATCTTTGGCCAGATCAGCGGCAATTCGTTGTCGTCTTATTACATGGTCACAATGCTGGAGTCCGCAGGTATTGTGCAAGAGCAGCGAGTGCTGGCGCTCAACGGTATCAACCCCGTGCTGTCGCTCTTCGGAGCTGTTCTTGGCGCTCGCATGTCAGACGTCATTGGCCGGCGAGCGCTGCTGCTCTACACGATTGTGTTTGCTTCTGTTTGCTTTGCCATCATCACAGGCACCAGCAAAATGGCTACTGATGATCCGACCCAAGTAGCAGCTGCCAACACCACCATCGCCTTCATCTTCATATTCGGAATTGTCTTCTCATTTGGTTGGACACCCCTTCAAAGCATGTACATTTCAGAGTGCCTTCCTACATCGACACGAGCCAAAGGAACCGCCGTTGGGAATTTCTCCTCGGCTGCTGCATCAACGATTTTGCAGTACGCTTCTGGCCCTGCCTTTGAGAAGATTGGTTATTACTTCTACTTGGTTTTTGTGTTCTGGGATCTTTTTGAGGCAGCATTCATCTACTTCCTGTTTCCAGAGACCAAAGACAGAACATTGGAGGAATTGGAAGAGGTGTTTTCTGCCCCTAACCCGGTCAAGAAGAGTTTGGAGAAGAGAAGTGCCCAAACTGTTCTCAACACGGTCGGCGCAAACCCAGCATCGGAACTTGATCATGAACCTTAGGATTGTGAAACATGTAGGAGCCGAGCTGCTGGTATTGAATGAGTATGTACCTAGGTACCTAGTTCTTGAACCATAATCTGACAGAGGAGTTGCACAAAAAAGCCTATAGGAGAGGTTTTGATACTAACATAATGTATACCTGTAGGGGAGGGAATGTGATTGTGCCGACTGGTTGTCAACTCGGGAACGGACCAAAATCCCCCGAGGTGATCAGGGTGCGCTTAAGGTTTTCGGAATATTTCTTCAATACCACCCAGGATAACAAGCGATTCTCGATTTACCCTTGCTATCCCCGCTTTCTCCGCAGCACATGCAAAATAAGCTTAAGGGCCCATGTCTCCCCAGTTTCCAGTCCAAGACCCAGTTTTCTCCAACGTTACTAAGTGCTGGGATACCTCTTGGTCCGCTTCGGGGTGCATGAGTCCTCTGCAATCATGATCGACTACGTCCACGCAGGGGAACCTGCGAGGAAGAGGCTTCGTACATCCCATGCGGTGAGTGTTAACTGTCTTGCTTACTCCGCCAGCCTGGGCTGATGAAGTGGAAGTGTGACCTGTGCCGAGCACGAAAAATCAGGTGAGATCCCCGGTGTGTGGGTTCCAAACCCAGAGTAGAGACAGTTGCTCACAGGTTACGAAATTCAGATGTGATGGGAAAGATCCTTGCGTGGCATGTGCTTCGACCGAAAATGACTGCACATATGGCTCCGAGGCCAATTCGTCAGTAGCACTTTTTGCACAGCAGAATACTAGATTTTGGAAAAGCTGACAGTGTGAATCAAGGAGAGGGAAGAGCGACTTGATATTGGATGGAGTGTTACGTTTGGAAACCTTCCTGCATAAAATGAACGCCAATCTCGTAGGTCTACTCGAGTCTCGGATGGGCAGACTCGAGTCCATTTGTCTGACATGTTCCAGATGTCGCTGCAGTCAATGACAAGCTCAACCCAAACGGCATCAACACGAACCACAAGCTTCTCCAGCAGTCCTCTGAGTGACCTGCATACACATCACCAGACACTCAGTCGTCAACGTACTAGAAGTATTGGCCAGTATGGGGTGAGTCCGACAACTCCTACCCCCAACGAACTCGAAAATGCAGTGCTCGAATCCTGGCACACATCGACGACTGAGTCCGTGTTGCACTGGCCACACTTTGATGCGTTTCCCAGTCTTCGACAGCATTACATACCAATCTTCGAGTTGGAAAGGTCGCGCCACCCGCTGAAAGTCAAAAGCCAGTGGTCTGACGATGCATCGTGCAATCTCCCAGAAGAGGAAATAGATGCAATCCTGGATGCCTTTTCCCAAAACTTCAACTTTTGGTACCCAACAATGTCACTGCATCAACTGGCAAAAACGAAGCAGACAATGCTGGGTGGTTGCCATGAAGAGGAGGACACGCCAGAGACTTGCCTAGCATTGTTGACGTTAGCATTGGGCTATGCGAGCAAGGTCACCTCGAGACTGGTGAACAGTCCACGGTCACCGGATTCGAAAGAGAAAGAAGAAAAGGCTTCTGCTCGCTCTAGGGGCGACCTCTTCTTTGAAAAAGCACTGAAAATGCTTTATGTGGCTCAAACTGATGTAAGCTCAACATCAGCTCAGTGTTTGTTCTTCACTGCGTAAGTGTGTCCTCCACTCATTTCAATCTCGCGCTGACTAAAGACCTGGGTTTGGCAGCATCTACTTTGCTTTCCTCCGGCGTCCTCTCCAAGCATGGCAGTGCATCTCGTCAGCATCGTCAAAATGCATGTTGCTGTTGTCCTACGCAGATTCAGTCCCCTCCACCTCGTCGCCTTACATACAGTCATCGAACACACACCTGCCAAGTCCAAGGAACGTCGGTGCTGAAGACGAGGAAAGAACAAAAAGAATCTTTTGGGCTTGCTACATTCTCGAATCGGATTATCTAGCTGAGCTGTCCCACGTACCACTATCGGGCATTGCCAGAATTGAGTCTTCAGTCTCACTGCCGGTGGGCACGTATCACACCCATGAGTCACCCAAGGACGAGGAGCTGTCGTCCTTGTACTTCCTGGCATGCATTTCGATGAGACGGCTGCTGAATCGAGTACATCAGCTTTTATACGCAAAGGATACTGGTGCGGGAATGGACATCAATCGATTTCCCAGCGTGGTTGCGGAACTGGACCACCAGTTGGAGGAGTGGAGAGACGTTCTTCCTAGCGCTTTTACGTTTGAGGTGCCGGAAATCGACTCTAGGCGACAGCGGAAGCCGTCTGGCGAAATGACTGAACATGGGAGGTTTCTGAGGCAGAGATACCTGACTTGCCGAAGTGTGATATATCGACCGTAAGTTACGCCGCTTTTGTCTCGTCTGGACGTCTCTCACTTTGTGATAGGTACCTGATGGGGATGCTCAGCGGGCAGTCCCTCACTAATATCCATGACCGAATCGGGAACACCAGTCCTTCTGTATCACCGAACCAGGGCATCCTCGGCAATTGCAAGTCCTGTCTCGACGCCTGCCTCCTTCACATCCTCAATCTGCGAGGTTTTTCCCAAACAATCCTCGTAGACACCTGGATTTGTTCTCTGTCGTAAGTCACAACCGCTAGTCAGTATGCTCCAGCTAATACACCACTAGAATGGCCGGGGCAATGCTTGTCCTTCTTGCCGCATGTCAAGTGCCATCGTTACGCAACCTCATCGGACCAGAAGTCTTGGCTGCAGGACATCACCTCACCCAGTTGTTGGAGGGTTGGCAGGAAGTTGCTGGGGGACCAAGTTCACCCAGCGTGGATCAAAGCGTCCATATTATTAAGGAGGCGGATGGGTTCATTCGGAATGTGTATGATCAAGATGGGTAAACCTTTGTCCTCGCTAAGAGGTGGATCCACCTGGTGTAACCCCTGAATTACCCCTGAGTGGCTTGGACGCAAAAGGACCAGGGTTAGGGTTCCTCCGGCGGGACGATCACTAAACATGGTTTCTTTCCGTAGATTACAGTCAGCACCTGCAGTAATGACTACCTATCTACCGCTGGCATCTTCAGTGTTCCAAGAGCTCTTTTTAACAGCACGAGAGCTTGTCATTGTTCCTCCCACTTGGGCTATCAGCTTTCCCCATGACGATCCGATTGTCCGCCACCTCAGCCTACTATACTCTCCTCACCGTACTACTAGGGAACAACAGACATCAAATATCTTGCTAAGATCTGGAGATTAGTAGGTTGTAATGAAATAAAAAAGGTATACCGAAAACTGCGGTTTAGGAAATACTAGGAAGATGTTTACTGAACACCCAATGCCATGACATCAGCTTGACGATTACCAGCCCGCAACGTCCAATATGTCCCTCCAACTTTTCGCCTCCATCCAGCAACCAAGCCGAAGTCCGCGGATCAAGTGCGACAAACTGAGTAAGCACCTAATCTACAAGATAGACCCTATCCGACGACAAACACCAGAAACTCGCTCGCAATGGCCACCCTTTACAAAAGCCCCCATGCCCGCACCTTCATCTCCTCCTGTCTCCGCCTCCATCCGGTGCACGTCCGCAAACCTCTCAATTGCATCTCTGACTTCCAAGCATCGTTTCCATATCACTCGCCAACCCGACGGGATTTATCAACACTATCCACCATGTCCGCAATCGGTAACCTCCCTAAAACATTCCGGGCAGCTGTGCTCACGGGACTGAACCAGCCTCTGGAGCTGCAGTCCTTGCCCTTAATCCCCCCTGCTCCAGGCCAGATTCTAGTGAAGGTGCTGGCATGTGGGATCTGCCACACTGATGCCTTCGTCGCGGCGGGGATAATCCCGACGTCGTTTCCAAGGATTTTGGGACACGAGATCATCGGGGAGGTTGCTGCGCTGGGGGAAGGGGTGAAGGGGTTTAGTCTTGGGGAGAGGGTCGGGGGCGGATGGCATGGTGGTAAGTATTTTTCTGTTGTGGTATTTTGTTGCGTCGTTCTTTCCTCTCGTTGATTGCTCTTTCCCTTACGGTCTTTGGTTGACGCTCCTTCCCTTTCTTTGTTCCTGCCAAATTTACTTTTCCCATTGTGGAGGTTGTTATCCTGCCCTTTTGCACATTTGTCACATTCCCACTTTAGCACATTACCCCATTTCACCCTTCTCGCCCCTCTCCATCACCCCCTTTTCCCTTCTCCATCACCCCCTTTTCCCTATCTTGCCTCCTTCATTGACACCCCCCCACCCCCGCCCCCAGGCCACGACGGCACCTGCCCCTCCTGCGTCAAAGGCGCCCACCAGTACTGCGCCAACGAAGCCATCAACGGCGTCTCCATGAACGGCGGTTACGCGGAATACTGTCTCCTCCGCCACGAAGCCGTCTCGCGCATCCCCCTCGACGCCGACCCCGCCTCCACGGCTCCTTTCCTCTGCGCCGGCACGACCGTGTTCAACGCCCTCCGCCACAGCGGGATCATCCCCGGGGAGGAAGCCGTCGTTGCCGTCCAGGGCGTCGGAGGGTTGGGCCATCTGGCGGTGCAGTACTCCAAGGCTATGGGGTACAAGACTATCGGAGTCTCGACGGGGAGTGACAAGAAGGAGTTGGTGATGGGGGAGTTGGGGGCGGATGGGTATATCGATTCGCTGGTTGAGGATCCGGTGGAGAGGTTGCAGGAGATGGGAGGGGCGAAGGTGATTGTTAGTACGGCGCCTAGTGCGAAGGCTATTGGGGGGTTGCTGGGGGGTTTGGCGAATTTTGGGAGGATGGTGGTTTTAGCGCCGGTTGGGGGGGTGGAGTTTGATACTTTTTTGATGGTGACGAAGGCGGTCTCGGTTAGTGGGTGGTCGACGGGGACGGCGGTGGATGGGGAGGAGGCGGTGTCGTTTGCGAAGAGGAATGGGGTGAGGTGTTTCGTCGAAAGGTTTGGGTTGGATAGGGTGAATGAGGCGTTTGAGGGGATGAAGGGGGGGAAGCCGAGGTTTAGGAATGTGTTGGTGATGGAATGAGGACGGGGTGGTCTCTTTGCCGCCGTAGGGTAAGAGACACTGTTCAGTGTTGGCAATCTCATCCCAATAAGTCACTGTCATTGGTGGGATGTCTTCTCAGCACTGTGGAAGGCGCTCCATATAGGCCCCTACTGCCGTTGTGGACCCAAACTGCCCGAAAGATACTTAAGGGTGAACAGCCGTGGAGCCAGTGACCACTCCCAGTGCCAGTCCTCATCCCATTCAGTGAGGTTTGGATCTCTGGTAAACACAGCTTGAAGTTGTGAATCTTGCAAAAGTGAGGCAAAGCAGTTGTGGAGATCTTCATGCCCAAGCTCTTTATCGATATGGTACTTTAAGATGAACGGGACACTGATTCACAATTCAACAACTACTTGCTGCTCGAATCAAAAACAGAGACGGCTACCCCCTATTTCTGGCTGCTCTGCTTCGCATAATACTCAGCCACCCACTTCTTCACAATCAAAACAGACTGCTCCTGCACCTTCACAACCTCTGGGTTAGGCTTAATGTTGAGGTTCCCAAGCGCACGAGTGGTGAATGCGTCATCGCCGTGCACAGCGTTCTTGATGAGGAAGACCGAAACGCTGTCGGTGGACTGCAGCACACCGCCTGTTCGGATTTCGCTGGACATGCTCGTTCCTCTCCAGGGGTCAAATTCACTAGATTTGGTGTCAGTATTCAGTACCGTTAAGCTGACAAAGAAGAAGGACAATCACGCACCCGCTCGTCCAGATCACACGCGTCGAGTTCCGCAGCCAGCCACCAGTCTCTTCGTTCAGAGTGGTAGGTGTCTTGCCCTTGGCGCTGCCATACTTCTCGCCATGTGTAGCCGGGAAGTGAAGCTCGCACTGTCTTTGCCAGTACTGAGCATCAATTTTTCGTGACACCATCGAGAGCGACTCCTTTGGTGCACCTGTGGCCCAGGATGCAATCGGCTCATTGCACAAGAACCAGTACCAGGTGCGCCAAGGGTTCCCGAGGGTTCTCGCAATGAAATAGGGATTCCACTCGTAATGTGTGTTGAGGCACCAGAGGGGATCCTCCTGTCCCCAGGTGTTGAGATACTCGCAAGCTGTGGCAGTGTTAGCAGTCCTCCCTTCAAGGGGGATGTGCGGGTTCGTTACTTGACTGTCTGAAATTCATCCTAAAGTATGCAGCGTAGTTCCCGACAGAGCCAGGAACAGTTCCCAGAACGTCGTTTTCTTCCGACTCATTTGAGCCGACGATAGCATCGCACATCTCCAAGATATCGCGGTAACCGTTGGTTTCTTGCCAGTAGCGGAACGGCGTCGCAATAGCACTGCAAATGGTCAGCAAGGACACCCAAGAAGGAAGAGATGTGGCATACTAGGCAAAGTCGTCATCCTCAATCGGGAATGACGCACCGAACAATAGCTTGAGCGCCTGCACTTCCGTCTCGTTCCGGTTCGAAGCCAGCAAGTACTTGTCGACATATTCTGAAACCTCATTCAACGCAACAGTGCAGCGTGTGTCTCCCCTGTAAGAATCGATTCCTTTTCGGATAGTGTCGTAGTAGTACCAGTTCTCGGTGTTTGCTTGCACGATAGCGCTGCTAAGATGGAACGCGTAAAACACGCCAGGATAGGTGTGTTCAATCCAGCTGCCCAGCGTTGCCGCGTAGGATGTCCCAAACCAAACCCACGGCACCTTGGTAGCCACACTTGTTTTGCCGTCTTCGAAAGGGAAGACAACATTCTGGGCAAAGTTGACCATGTCCATGGCTGCTTGGTCCATTGTGAGATACTGTAGAGTCTCGGCATCGAAGCCATCGTATGGCGAAGATCCGCCAAAGTATCGGTCTGGGGGACATAGTACGTTAGCGAAGGCAGAAGAGACATTGTCAGATCAGAATCTTACGCTCGATCACAACGGTTGCCGCCCCAATGGCCTGTGCGTATAATCCGGTCATCGTTGTGTTATCCAGAAAGCTGTAACCTCGGCTAGGCGTGATGGACCCCCAGATTGGGGTCTCGCCAGGGGTCATGAGAACCACAGGCGACCCGGGGCCTCCCCATTTGGCAGGGTTTACGCAATATAATTGCTGCCATGTTCCAAGCTCAGGGTTGCTGTGATCTATCGGTTGGGTGAACCACTCGCAAGATGCGCTGGCGCCAGCGGCCTGGATGACGTCTTGGGCAGACTTGGTCAGAACGTCCGGCACGCCCTTGATTGATGCTCTCGGTGCAGCCCATGCTGCAAATGGGAGCACTGTATTCGTGGGTATCTTCATAGTGAAGGCTGACGTGGTTGGAGGCCAAATCAACACCAGAAAGCTCTCTGTGACATGACAGGTGCTGTGGGCTTTATCACCCTGTCAAAGGCCTTTGACGGAGAATATTCAAGTACCGAATGAAAGGGATCATTGTGGGGAGCAGTGTAACGCTATGGATGAAGACGATGGATAAGTTAGAAATGCATATGAAAAGTGCCTCTGATACGGCCATTGTCGATAGTATGAGGCTAAATGCCAGGACCCTTGAGCTGTCTAGCCCACCTGTCAGTCAGGCCACAATAAGCAAACCAATCAATTTACATACCATCTACAGTTCTCTACCTCATTTATCTGCACGGTATTTGCCTTCCAGCCCGCTCATACTTACGCCTTGCAGATGCGGAGAGCACCACATGGTTCCCACATGTCGCCGATCCAGGATTTGGTCGGGGTCAAATGAAGCAGACGGCAATCCTGGTTGGCCCGGCTAAAGCTGTCAGTTGTGAGCAGCTAAGAGCTTGCTGCAGTCTTATTGAAGCAATCTGAATACCCTTATATCTCTGCTCCAATACGCCCATCTTGGCGCTTGGTCCTCTAGTGACAATCTACAAGAGAGGAGCTCGACCTGTTTGATATTCTCGTGCCGCGGCAGTTGCATTCTTCCTTGACTCGGAACTCTATCCATGGTAAAGGTACCAGGAGACCAAGGTAAGTTGACTGATTGTCCCGTGTGGCTCTTGGTTGGCGAGTCTGGGTCGGACGGTACTGGGAGCGGGGAAGAAGGTGACAGCCCAGTTGAAGGCAACTACCGGGATCCAGAAATAAGGTGGTCAAATTGTATCGTAAGCTCATGGAAGCGCCAGGTCAGGGAATAGCACATGGAATATATACACAAAGCATGAAAAAAAAGATCATCACTTGAAACCATCAAGGCGAAAGATACGGGACTGGTCTCAGGTCGCTGGTAGGTATGGAAGGCAGGTAGTGTGGAAGGCGCGGCCTGACCCCCTCATCCACGTGGAGGTTTGTGAATCACCAAAGTGAAATTCAATATTCTTACAATCATGACAGCGTAAGCGCTCTGAGACGAGTCCATAAATTGTTGGGAGATGCGTTCCTGCTACGATGCAGACACAGGAAAAGGTAGCTTATCCCACGGCACCGTGGAATCAAGCACCTTTTTGCATGGAATATGGGGTAGACATCAATATTCACGTAAGAACCCAACAGGCACCTTCAACCTCAAGTGTTGATACAAACATTGATGCCTTCCTAGTATTTGAAACACGGTCCACGATACTGAGTGGATGACGGAATCAGCAGCCAATCAGCAAGGACCCCAGATCTCATTTGATCGATCAACAGCACCCCCCCACGATCTAGACCGAGCCATGGCGACATGGTGAATAATCACACCGAGTTGCATCCTCGTTCATTTTACAAAAGCAAAGCGTACTTGCGCACGCGATGCCAACCCTCAGAAGCGTTCTCTGAGATCAACATATCGTGGGGGTCTCCCATCAACAACATGTCTGGGCAGATGGCGACAGACCAGCATGATTGTTGAGATTCACGATGATATCCCCTGCGCGGTGTTGTTGTATTATGATCTACCTTATAAATCAGCACAAATAAACGCCGCAGATGTCGCCATACCGCGGGGTGCACTCCGGCTCGCCGACCGCAACGGCAAACAGCCTGTATGAATGGACAACCACCAAACACGATGCAGGCGCAGGCACAGTTGCACTGCCAAGGACGCCCAATATGGCAGGAAACAAGACAAATACCGACCACCCAGCAAGCACGTTCGTCCTCGATCCCGAAAGTATTGATTTTCGAGTAATCAGAGTTGCAGCTGACGCCATTCGTCACTCCGCAGCAACACCCAACCATGCCACGGCCACGATGGTGACTTAGATGTCAACAATAACACGATGATTCCTGGTTGCAGACGGCCTGTATAAATGCAGGCTATCATCCGGGTCCATAAGCATCCCTCATCTGGATCAACAGTCGAGTTCCAGGTAAGGCAGTGCATCGCGGGTTCCTGCATTCTGGCCACCATCCTTCATCTGTGTTCATCAATCCACCAGTATCTTGTAGCTGTCAGTTGACGCCTTGATACAACATGAAGCTCTCCCTCGGGACCGTTGCCGCGGTCGTGGGTGTTGTCAATGCGGCTTTTCCGACGGATATTGTCTACTACTGGTACGATATCTCACCCTCTGGGATGGTAGTTGATTACAGTCTGACATCTCTTCTAGGGTTGACCAGTCCGCCGTGGTAGTTAATGCCACCGGTGGTCTTTCTTCCCCTCCCTCCGGTTGGTACACAGCCGTCGTCCAGGGTGCCGTCTACGAAGCAGCCGTGAACTCCAAGCGTGAGAGTCTCGAGTTCCAACAGCTCGCCATCTCCCACGCCGCTCACGACGCCATCCTCTGGGTCTACCATGGCTCCCGCCAGTACGCCCCCGTTGACGCCGCTCTCCGCGCCGTCATCCCCATCATCGGTCTCGACCCCAACTCCAGCAAGGGCAAGCAAGCCGCTAAGATCGGCCAAGCTGCCGCCGCCAAGGTAGCAAAGGCTCGCGCCGACGACAATCTCGTCAACTTTGTCGACTTCACCTTCGGCCCGAAGCAGCCCGGAGTCTACCAGCCCACCCCCGGCGGCGCTCCCCTCCCAGACACCCCCCAAGCCCGCTTCACCCGCCCATTTGCCGCCCTGGGCGACATCACCCGCTTCCGCTCCCCTCCCCCTCCCAAGACCAACTCGGCCGAGTACGAAGCCGACTTTTTGTTCGTCAAGTCCGTCGGCGCTGTCAATTCCGCCAACCGCTCCGCCTACGATACCGACACGGCCTACTTCTGGCGCGAGTCCTCCGTCACGGGCTGGAACCGCTTCGCCGGCGCCATCGTCGGCTCCAAGCTCGACAAGAAACCCCTCGAGTCGGCCAAGTTCTACGCCCAGCTCAACTACGCCATCGCCAACGCCGGCTTCGCCTCCTGGGACGTCAAGTACGCCTACCAAGGCTGGCGTCCGGTCACGGCCGTTCACTACCCTGATGTTTGGCTCAAGTCGGGGAGGAACGAGACTGATACCAACTGGGTTCCCCTCTTGAGACCTACTCCTTCCCACCCGGACTATGTATCTACCCACTCTACTTTTGGGAGCGCCGCGGCGCATGTGATCAAGGCGTGGAATAAGGGGGACAGGATCGATGCCACGTGGAGTAGCAATGTTACTCTGGATAATAGGGGTGTGATTACAAGGCGGTACACGAGTGTGCAGTTTGCGAATGAGGAGAACAGTATCAGCAGGCAGTTTGGTGGTGTAAGTTTCCCGGAACCAGGATTGTGTTTTGATGGATGTGGCTGACTGACCTTTTGGTGATAGATTCACTTCAAGTTTGCTGGCACGGAGGGTTTGAAGCTCGGTGACAAGGTTGCTGAGGCTACGCTGAAGGTGTTTGACAAGAACTGGGACAAGTTCTAATCGTCATGTGTGAGCATCCGACTGGATCAAGCGGTGTATGGGTGAGGTATCTCAATTGGGATATCGAGGAATGAGGTTTTTACAAACGGGTTTTCGAAGAAAATTCAGAACGAACTCTGTTCCATGAATGTTAAGATATTGGGTTGGTAATAGTTAATGCAAGACGTTTCAGCCCGTACACGTGGTTGTAGTCTGAGATCAATGGTGTCAGAAGTAACAACCCGAGCGATGAGATATAGCTGTGACATGAAAGTCATGAGATATCGACGGTGAGTCAAGGGTAATGGCATCAGAAACGCGCGTAAGATGAGCGCTAAGTTCAGGGATGACCTGAGCAACACGAAGCTAAGTGTTCGGACGTGAGCGATGTGATAAGTAAATGGATGAGAGTTATGGGATGAGAGTTATGGGATGAGAGTGATGGGGTGAGAGTAATGGGGTGAGGGTGTGGAATGAGAGTGATGGGATGAGATCATCAAGACGAAAGATTTCTCGAAGCATATGAAGTCCATCAAACAGCACAAAGTGAACCGAGTTCCATGAAGAAAACAGGGCTTGTATCATTCCTCATCTCTAGATATTTTAATCTTGTCTCATTTGCACCCACACCATTGCCCGATTACATGTAATGGACCTTTTCTCTATGCCCAAAATCGAAATGTAAAACAAAATAGGAATTTGTAGATGATAATTAGTGAGCGGCTCCACGACCACCAGCAGCGCCCACAGCCAAAGACTCCAGAGTCTCCTGCTTGAGCTTGGGCAGTGGCCTACCCCTCTCGGTAGGAAGCCCAATAAACTTGATCGCAGACAAATAGCTGAGGTACTTGCCAACATCATCCCTGTTGACACCATGGCCAGTGCTGTCATCAACATCGGTCCACTTGTCAGCATCAGCTTTGAGAATGGCAACAGCGTTCCTGTCGTCCATCTCGGGGGCACGGGTGTTGGCGGGCAGGTCATTCATGCAGAAATGGAACAGGGGCATCAGAGCATGCTGCTCCGAATCCTTCTCAAGCGAACCAGCGCTGACGAACTGTTCGAGCTTTTGCTTCCAGTCCTCGTAGGTGATTTCTGGCGCATTGTAGCCGTAAAACTCGAGAGAGGCAAGATACTCGTTCATGCGGTAACGGGGATGCGCCGTGACATGGACAACATGAACATTGCCATCCGCGTCACCGGCAAGAGGGTTCAGGGCAGAGGCGACCACCACACGCGCAACGTGGTTGACAGGGACGGCGTTGACGGTGTTGATGATGTGTGGGCGCGACTGCAGCTGGATGCAGCCCTTCAGCATGCGGATCAAGAAATCGTCCACGTTGCAAACACCAGTCTCTGAATCTCCGAGGATGTAGCCGGGACGGACAACCGAACCGACAAGACCGCGTCTGCCTGCTTCACGAACAAGCTGCTCAGACACCCACTTGGATTGACCATAGCCAGTGCCTAGCCCAGTGCTGCTGCCAGTCATGTCATCGCTTTCCAAGATGGCACCCTGGCCAGTCCTGGTGGAGTCCTCGGACAGCTTGATGTAGTAGTCTGTGTCAAGCACACTGGTGGAGCTGACAAAAGAGAAGACCTTAGGCTTGCCCTCATTGCAAAGTCTCATGGCATCAATGGTCGACAAAACGTTGGCCGCCATCATGTCTTGGTATCTCTTAACCCAATGGACAGTGGCGCCGTTGTGAATGACGACATCAGCCTCGTCCGCCAGGGTCTTCCAGGTGGCATCGTCAATGCCAAGCTGGGGTTGAGACAGGTCACCCACGACCGCACTCAGCCTCCCGGTCCACTCATCCTTCCACAGGCCATACCCCTGCAGAGACCGCTGAAGTCTGACAAGAGCCGCCGAAGATTCCTTGGCGCCACGAACATGAGCAATGAGCTTGACGGTCTTGACGGTACGGCTAAGGATTTCTTGGACAAGGTATGAGCCCAAGAAGCCGGTGGCACCAGTCAGGAAGATCGTCAGCTGCTCTGCAGAGTCAAGCGCTGCACGGTCAGCCGACTGGTACTTGGCAGGAAGCTGCTGCAGAAGCTCGTCCAAAGACTTGGAATAAGCGGCCTCTCCAGCTTCAGCTGTTACACTGCCGGCCTCGTTAGAAAGGAGCTTGTCGATCTGAGCACTGAATCCTGCAAGGCTAGGGTGTTCGTAGAGTGTGTTGATCGACACATCGGCGTTGAGACCCTTGCGCACGTTGAGCAGAAACTGCTGAGCCAGCAAACTGTGACCACCGAGGTCGAAGAACCCGTTTTCTCTCTTGATAGCCTTGGGGTTCAAGCCACGGATGAGGTCGGCCCAGAACTGTGCCACGGTCCTTTCGGTCTCTGTGAGCGACTCCCAGTTCTGGAGATCATCCTCAGAAGCGTCCTCAACAAGTTCAGCAATATCGGGGAAAGGAAGGTTGGGCTTGTCAACCTTGCCATTGGGGTTCAGCGGAAGCTTGCTGAGAACAATGTAGATGGTTGGGACAGCGTATGTCGGGAGTCGTGTGGACAAATGGTCGCGAACCTCCGTTTGCATCCGTCTGTACTTCTTCAAGTAGACTGTGACGGGACCCATCTCCACACCCTCATCCTCAACATCAGCCAATCCCCGGTCATGGAGCCAGCGAGCCCACTCCTTGCTCTCAGGAACAATGTAGCTGACAAGCGTGGGCTCTTCGTTGCGATCTCTCCGAACGAGAGTTTTGCAGTCGCGGATGAGTGGGTTTTGGCTCAAGTTGCTGTCGATATCGTTCAGTTCGATACGGAAGCCGCGAATCTTGACTTGGTCGTCAGCACGCCCGACGCACTCGACATCGCCAGATTCGAGGTAACGACCCAGATCACCGGTGCGGTACAATCTGTCCCTTGGCCCCTTGTAATACTTTCTCCATGGTTCGTTCTTGCTGGCCTTGGCATCAGCCTCAACCCACTTCTCGTTGTCAACGAACCAGTTCATCAAGAACTTCTGCTCGTTGAGCGCCGGGTCACCGAGGTAGCCCCTGTGCATGAAAGTCAGTAAAGTGACGCAAAACACAACCAACTGTGTGACTTACTCGGCAAGGCCCGCCGCACGGACAAAGATCTCGCCAACCTCGCCCACCTTGCACTGCTCCGCTCTGTTTTCGCGGTTGACAACTAGCAACTGGACATTTTGCATACCGGTACCAGCCGGAACAGTGTCCTTGAGCTTGTCCAGATAGTCAGGCTCCCTGGCACGGCTGGGAATTTCGTAGTAACTGACAGCTCTTTGCGTCTCAGTTGTGCCGTACATGTTAATGATGTTGGCATTGATGGCCAGCTTTCTGAGGGCGCGGCAGTCCCTAGTGGTGAGAACGTCACCGACAAAGAAGACGTTCTCGAGGCTGGGGAACTCAGCCGATGCTCCACCTACCAGGATCTGACCCATGGCAGGGGTAAGATGGGTGACGGTAGGCTTGTGTTCGCGCATCCATTCGGCCAGCTTCTCGTGCTGGATGTCTTCTCTTGATGGCACCAGGAGCTGTGCGCCGAGGAAAAGGGGAGTGAAGATGTCGCGCTGGACCGGATCGTGAGCAATGCCAGAAAGCAGAGTGTATTTGCTCTCTGAGGAGAGGTTAAACCGCTCGGCCATCCAGCCAAAGTACTTGACCAAGCTGAAATGCCTGCCCAAAACACCCTTGGGTCTACCTTCACTGCCAGAAGTGAAGGAGAGTGTGGGGTTGGAGTCAGGTCCTACCAGGACGTCTGGTGGCGCAGAGACGGATCCTCTGACGCTGGCAAAGATGTCCTTGCCGTCCACTTCACCGCCGTATAAGAAGCCGTCATCACGGAGTCTGAGGTCGGGGACCTCGGCCTTGAGCTGGAGCTCATCATCAATGTACTGTTGTACCAATGGGGCCAAGGGGCCGTTCTCATCTGTGGCACGCCCAATTCTCAGCAGGGCGCGGGGCTGAGAAACCTCGAGGTAGATCTTCTGTCTCGCTGGAGGGTAGGCAGGATCAAGGACAGTCATTGTCGCGCCGGAAGCCTGAACGGAGAGCAACAGTTAGGAAGCCATACAACACAGTAGTCGAAACGAAGGCAAGGATCACAAAGACAGGCACCCACCAAAATACCCATCAGGGCCACGACCAAGTCTACTGATCGATGGGCCCAAATCATGACAACATCCCCATTGGTAACGCCGGCATTATGGAGGTGCCATGCTAGTGTGTTTGAGGCCTCATAAATCTGGCGATAGGTGAATCGTCTCTCGGGGGTGGTGGACGACTTGGTCTCAACAACGCAAGTGCGGTCGGGGTGAGCTTCGGCTTGCGCGCGGAAGTGCTCCTGGATCGAACCAACGTACCCTGACCAGTCAAGGTCGATGGTGGGGTCTGGTAATGGGCTCATTGTCGAAGCTAGGGATTTGTGTTTGCGGTTTTATCTAATTTCCAAAGTCAAAGCTGTTTTAAAACGAAATGAAGAAGGTATGCTGGTAGATATAGCAACAGTTCCAGCTCACGTATGACGAAGTTTTTTTTCTGCAGTCAAGACAAGTGACTCAATTGGAGGTGCGGGACATCAACGGCAGCTCCGACAACGGATCCAATCAATTGACACACAAAATATAGTGGAGCCAATTCAACCCCACTGCCCCTCCCCCACAGATCCCCCTTCAAGCAAACCCCACATCGCGCATTCAAGGTCGCGTTGTCTGGGGCTTGAACGCTCAATGCCGTGGCGGCGGTAGGTGGTGCAGGTTCAAGGGATCTTTGCCGACGGGCACGACGATTCTGATATGTTGACAGAAAACTTTGAAGTCATTGGAAGATGAAGTCAGGCGACACTATCAGCACTATCTGAAAAGAAGCAACGTTCATCAGAGCTGAAACTTCGTGACTAGTTATACCACAAGGGAAATATACACCAAACAGCAGGACTGTCCATATGCCACATCTACCAAGGTCTACCAGAACGCCTAGTCATACTTCATCTCCCCCTTCTCAATCTTCTCCTCGTACTCAGTAAATGTCTCGATCCCCTTCGGCACACCATTCCACTGCAGCCCTTGCTCATCCATGAGTCTCGCACGATGTTCCATAGCCCTCTTCCAACTCGGCAGCTCGACCATCTTTTCATGCCAGGCCCGAACACGCGGTGTTCCCTCGAAGACCTCATCCCACAACTGCATCAGCACCTCGCTCAACCGAGAATTCCAAGGCACAAACGCCATATCAGCATACGTCATCTTGTCCCCGACCAGCCACTGCTCATGCTCCCCTTTCTTCGACAAAACAATCTCTAACACCCCCAACACACGCTTGATCTCATTAGAATACCTATCAATAGCCGACTGGATCTTCTCAGCATGTAAATGCTGGAACCAGCCGCACTGACCGTAATAGGGTCCTTGGCCGCTCATCTGGAACTGGAGGAACTGGTTGCAGAGGTTGCGGTTGATGACATCGTCAAATGTGAGACGCTTCTCCGTGTCGTATTGCTCGATGAGGTACTGGTTGATGGCTCCCGACTCCCAAAGGGTGAGACCGGTGTTGGGGTCTTCGATGGCCGGGATGCGGCCGTTGGGGTTGATGTCTATGAAAGGGGGTTTCTTCACGTCATCGAAGCGGAACGATTTGAACACGTAGTTAAGGGAGAGTTCCTCAAGGAGGAAAATGGTTTTCCAGCCATTGGGGCCCGGTGCTAATGTGGATTTGAGCGGCGCTTCTCATCTCAATCCTAATGTTCGGTGGCTAGAGAGGTACTTACGGGTGAGCCATACACGGATGGGTTTAGGAGGGTTGAGAGTAGCTGTCATCTTGTTCGGTAGGTAGGGGGGGCAGGATCTTTGTGCTTTGCGACGGTTCTGTTTCAAAAATAGCGAGGTTCGTAAAAGGTATCGTTAACTGCCATAATCTTATACTAGGAGAACATCCCAGCCCATGGCTGATTTCTCATCTCGATTTCATGTTGTTGGCTCCTACCTATGTCGTTGGTTCATTGTCGTTGGTTCATTGCATGGTGTATGTCACAGGGCTGCAGGAGTTGATAACCACCGCTGACCAAACAGCGCCAGGCCTATTGCCGTTGGCTGCATGCTTATGAGCTTGTTGGTGAAAAGGGGATAGAAAGCAGCACTGCTGTAACCTGGACACGCCTCGCGTGAACTGTCATGCATACATGTCGTTCCTGTCCACCTCCTGTCACCAATGTCAATCTGTGATCAGATCGGATATACGAGGGGCGGTTTGATGCATCATTGACCCTTCTAGGAACCATGGATGAAGATAGAAGGATCCGAGCAAATACTACCTTACGTACTTCTTGTGGAGTGAGTGAGATGGTGCCCACTCACTTAGGTACTTTGGGTGAACAACTTATTGAATAACAGCATTCATGGATGCGGATGGCCCGGCAGCGTCGACAACACCCACACTTTTGTGTTACTAGGCCTCTCTAACAATAGAGGTCCAGATATCTTGCTTGGTCTATGCGTTGAGAGTTGAGCCTTCAAGCACCTTATGAAGGTGATTGTGCACTCATGCTATGGATTGATTTCACAAATTGATGCCATATACCAAGCTTAAGCGCAAAATGGATATGGGCTTAGGTTGCCTGTCTTGCTACCACACGCCGAGAGGCCAAAGGACAACGCTCCAACCATAGGTAAGAACCATTCTAGAACCTGTTATAATCCTGAGGACGTCATCGTGTCCTGCGCCGCAAAGATCTGGCGGCGCACACTGTCCTCTGCACAAATAGCCTAAACACCGCACGCCAATCTTGATAGAGCACGGCCACAGGCTTCATAGCTGTCGGGTACAATGAACAAACAAATGCACAGACTGAGGTTGAGTTTGTAGGCACCACGTGGATCTCACCTCGATATTGGGCCGGGTACGTGTCTTGCAACTAGGCCACTTTGGCTCTGCCCAGGAAACACCGCCCCATTGAACGCGTTGTTCTTTCCATTGATTCCCACCCAACAGACTTTTCTTTCACCTGACGTCAATCTCGGAAACATTGCGAGGCTTCCCCTCCAATCAATCTTTTGAGCGTTTGCCATTTCTGGTCGCCACTGCAACTGCCAAAAAAGTACGAGTTTCCGCTTTCCCGGGTAAAGTAGCATCGCCGATCATTGCTGCAGGGCTCAGCCTCTTGACACAAGTTCCCGTCGTCATTATTAAAGACAACAAACATCCCTCACCTTGCTGACCGACAGTTTGAAAATACTCCGTATCATCAGTATCTCATTGTTGGACAACAAATCCCACCATGATGTATCGCAACACCATCCTCACCCTCCTGGCGGGAGCATCATCCGTCACCGCCGCCATGGATCCCATCAACAACGCCATCCTCCGCGCCCGTCAGCTCCAAGACAGCATCCCAACCTCCACGGGGTCCGTTTTTAGAACCCGCACAGTGGACGCCTGCATCAGCACCCTCACCTCCCTCAGCAGCAGCGCCCCCTCCCCGCCCCCTGGAGTCCTCGAGTACGACTTGAGCCAGCAGTTAGAACGTTTCAAAACCGCGACAGCCCCCATAGGTCCTCTAGTCGACGACGTTGCAGATATATCATCGGTTTGCTCTAGCGCCTTTGACGAAGACAGGACCAGGACTGCCACCACCTATTACCCCCCTGCAACTGTTATCGGCAGCGAAGAATACGATAGATACCGAACATCGGCTCTTTCCTGGTATTCTTCGATCCGTCCTGTTGTGTCCGAGGCTGCGCAGACATGTTCGCTGAAGTGGCCCCGGGAGGTGGGTCGGCTTTGGTTGCCGTTCATTGACAATGAAGAGGATTGTTCCAAGGCGTTCAGCCTTGTGTTGGGGATCACCGCCACGGAGCCCGCCACGGAGATTATCACACGGACACGCACTGTTCCCACTGAGACGGAGGCTTCGACGACAGGGACGGGGATACCTGCTGAGGAGACTGAAACTGAAGAACCTGCTGAGGAGACGGAGACGTCGACGAGCGCCAGTACTGCTGGCGCTGCCAGGGAGACTGGGTATATGGTTGCTGTGGTGGCCGCTGCGGCTGGTGTTGCTGGCGTGATGGGCGCTATGTAATTGTGAGTATGATGATATTATGTCGGTATGATTTGGCGCGGGCGACGACAAGGATGGGCATGACGAGGGCTATTTCGATGCCCAGTACACGACGGGAAATATCTGGGGATTAGGACAGGTGGCTATTAAGGAAATAGAAGGGTATTTTACAATACTTCGGTTATATAATGGGAAACAAGATATCATTCGATCTAGGCGACAACTGATCATACCACCCTTTTCCCTTAAGAACTGTTCTGACACACGTGAAAACAAGCAAGGCATGGTGCCAGAAAGCATGTACGACGTCAACCTGCAAGCAACGCCACCGATTTCTTGGCCTCGATTTCGTGGCCTCGATTTCGTGGCCTCGATTTCTTGATACTTGACACCGCATCAAAAGATTGTCAGTGAAGGAACAGGTGACCTGGTAGAAAGGTCGAGCGACCATAACCACGATAATCAGGTGATCAGGCTGAGAAAAGGAAGCTTTCACTCTGATGATGGATACGCTCACCTGAGCTTGTGAGGGGAACAATTGGAAAACGAAGCTGATCTCGCTGATGATGAGGCAAGCGGTGAGGAGAAGACGACGAAAGAGAAGGAGAAGAAGGAGGAGAAGGAGAAAGGCAAGGGTAAGAAGCAGGACGACTCGGGGCTAGAATTGATGAATTCGGCTTTACGACAGCTCCGACGATCGAACTTCTCGGGAAAAATCGCCTTGGTGTTCGCCAAGGGGATTTGTATTTGGACGAACCCTTCTTCTTTCGGAAAACCTCGCCTATCGAACTGGAAGTCTTGTGGCAAGTCCTTGAGACATTGTGCAAAGGGAAGACAGGTCGCCTAACTTTGTGCGTCCGATGACGAGCTGGTGCAACGCGACATGCCATTGGGTCTTGCGAGTCTCGAAGGGTACCAGACGGATCATCGAAATAGAGATGAATATCGTGAAAAATCGATCGTTGATTTTGAAAAGCAAAAAGTTTTGTCTTGTACTCGATGCTGTGGCTTGTACCCAGGAGTCGGGTGCTCCCAAGCCCCTGAGGTCCAGAGCCGTGGCGGGAATCGTCACCTCTAATTTCCTCTCGTCAACCATGTGTTGTTACATACAAGAGTACAAACGTACTTTCATTGGTATATCTCGCTTGCCTCATGAGCTACAAGAAACAACCTTATTTTTTCCCACAGAGTTAGTGACAGGAGGGGTCTTGTGTCTCACCTGACTGAGCCTCATCCAGTACCCAGGGCAACGGTGCCTTCTTCCAGGCTGGTTGCATATTCACATGCCCTCGCTTCCGAACTTCGTTGCTCATAGCGCGAACCGCTAACTAGGTCCAGATCCGGTTCTTGTTATACCTAGGTATGGAAGGACTTGTCCTCATAGTGACACAGAAAATTCCATATGGGCCGGTCCCGAATCTTCCTCTTCGCCGCTCGGGTTGGATGAGCACTTTGCTGCTCGGCGTAATACCACATCAGGGACCAGCTTTGGTCAGCCCATGTGAAAACTGTTCCACACCAAAAAGCTTTCACCGGGGATTTATGCCATCCGACCTTTTCCTGGCCGTATTGCCACGGCAGGGACGCTATTGTCCTCCGACGCAAACTTCAGCGTCGAGTGAGTCTGTAACGACTGCATGAGCCGATTGTGGTGAGATATTTTCTGCAGACTTCCAACGTTGCTCAAAATGATCCCAGCCTGGGGCTAGAGTGACGAGTTCTACATGAGACCGATCGTCAACTATCTTGGCGGCTCCGATGCCGCCCCCCCTATTTCATGATTTTTTTGATAAGAAGGGGAAGGAGGCATTGGGAGACAACCTTGCTGCCGAAACTGGCAGCCAAGACACCTCCAAACTCAGCATTCAATAAAGCAGAGGCCATGAGTTCTCACTCAAATAATCCTCAACATGAGGAACCCCAGGGAAGTGTCAGGGGCGCACCCCATCTCAAAGTCGATGTCATCCCCATGTGGTGGAGTCATATCTGCCCATTGCAGGCCAACAACCTGGTGTTGTATCAATGGCAGGAGGCTCGCTACACCGATCCCTTCCAAAGACCAGTCGGTACATCTTGTCCTGCGGGTTGGTCAGTCAAAACTTTCCCAACGAGTCTCCTAGAAAGTTTGCTAACATGTATGATCCAGTGGATACTTTACCACTACCACAACCATCCTTTACAACCACCACCGTCAGCCAATCGAGACCATTTCGGGTATCAACCATCTACCAGGTCGTCATATCGATACTCATATGTTGTGCTGTCACTGTTGGCACTGGGAGGTGAATAGATTGGTGCCGCTTCAAAGTGGTGCATCTGGAAAGCTGCGGAAAGTATTGGGGGTAAACTGCTGTGCACACTGCGCATCTCATGCAGACTTGCTGAGGAACCATCATTGCGATCATTGTGTCACGTACAATATTTATGGGGAGATCAATCGGTACATGAATGTCGGTCGAGACAGGCCTGAGAACTCGGTGAGTTGGAGGCATGAGAAGGCCGAAATGGCGGCGATGTTAGCAGGAGAGGGGTTTTATAGCGGGTGATGTCGTCGACTGACTGTGCGGGGGTGGCTTGCCAATCATGGACGTTAAGAACGAAAAGAGCAAAAGAAGAAAGATGGTGATTGTTGGTCTGCTTGAGCGCGTTATTCATTTGCAATATCTTGGTGACAAGTAAGGTACCTTTCCATGCGCCTGAATTAAAGCCCCTTCCTCCTGCCATTGAGAATCAACTGGCGTCACGGGCAGGGCAGGGCTGCCACGCACTTGCCTTCGGGAATTGTCAAGCGGCACTTACCCACGTGATGCGCCAGAAATTTGCTGCTAATTCCAACCTCGGCAATATTCTCAGCAGAATTTTTCTTCCATCGTTTGCAAGTCGGGCCACATGCGCATTCCACGTGGATGGTTACCTCCGGCACATGTCACCCGGCCCGGATCAACCCCGGCTTAAAGTGGGGCCGGTCTTCCGCATCTGAATCCGGAGCTTCGGTCTCAAATGGCTTGGCAAATCCGATATCATCAACTGGCCATGCACTGAGCAAGTGACACCACCAAATTTTCAGCACCCCCATTTGATCACGAACACAAATACGATAGGGACGCTGAAGGGTCAGGCTTTGCGTTGTGATATATGACCACTACCATTTCCAAAGCAGAGCCTTCACCTATCAAGCTCATTTTTCACCGGGAAAAGAATGATGCTAGGCAGCGCACGGGTTTCTCTTCTTCTTGTCATTCCCTACCCCTTTTAACGTTATGAACCTTTGGAAATCTGACGCCTTAATACATGTGCATTGACTGCCGGCTTCTCACTTCAAGACGGCATTTTTCCCGCCCTGCACAACTTACAAAGAAGCATAGCCTACCTCGACTGCTCTTTTTCAGGCAATAATCCTACGACGAACTTCGTGAACTAATCATGAGTATGCGCCATGAACCCTGTTACCCATTCAACCAGAGGAAATGGAATAAGGGGCTGGTACCGTTGCCCTTTCCCTCGGCGCTTCTATTACCGGCATAATGGCCTTGTTCGCAGGGCGCACATGGAATATCATGGAGGACTACGAAATCTTACTGGTGAGAATCTTGCCCGTATTTGCACTGCGTATGCTAAGCATCTTACAGCTTAACACAACTTCTATCACCGACTGGTCCAAGTCTTGGTCTCACCTCAAAATTTTGACTACACCAAGGCTTTCCCTTGATCCCCGCAAGATCAAAGTGGATGACGATTCCAATGACGAAAAAGTTCAGCTCAAGGACAACTTGCCTGTAGACATTCCTCAGCGTGAGGGACCGCCATACGACTTCTACTCATTGCACGGAACTGGAATATGCATGGGCTGGTCTTGCCGAGTCCAGATGACCCTGCTTCACACAGAGAAGTCCAAAACTGTGTAACTGGATACTTCACCGACGGTACTGTTTTCTTTGTCGTAACAGTTCCCTGAAGGAACCCTGTGATTAAGAATGATCCTTGACAGACAGCCTCGACCTCTACGAGCTGTTCATGAAACTCATCAACGGCGCGATTGAGGGCTTCGCCGATGCCGGGAATGTGAAGGCCAACCTGAAGACCTTGTACGGTGCCCACAACGCCTTCACCTTGACGTTCACCATTGCCACTGGCATCCAAGGAATCTTCGGGTTCCTCACCACTTGGTTCGCGATTTACAACCCACCCATTCATAAAAATGACAGCAGCAACCGTCACAAGATCATCATATCATCGCACTGGATTGCTTCGATTGTATCTGCGCTGTTGGGGCTATTGAGCGGCATCTCAGGTTCTAGCATGACATCCGTCGCCACAAACCAAATCCAGGTGTGTAAAGACCGCCCACCCACTGACCAATACAACCACGTTGTTATTGTAGAGGACGTTTAAATACAAACTCGTCATACCCAGAACCATTGGGACAGGTACGGTATCACGGCCACACAGGGGAGCAAGTGGCTTCGGTAGGAATGATGATTCTTGTTTGGTTTTGGTGGAATTGGATGTGGATGGGGTTGCTGGGGCTGAGAGTGACTTGGTGCATTGTCAAGGACCCGCGCAGCCACCACTTTGGGGGTCCAGACATGGACTTTGACAGGGAGTCGAGCGAGTATGGTGGGGTTGAAAAGTTAGTTGACCATTTTCGTGGAAGTATCCTGCTCGGGGATGGGAAGGGGCCACCACCTGGTGGTCAGATGTGAATGCATTCAGGGCCTCAAGGATTCCCTGTGGGTCATGGGCCACCTCCTGGGCAACCCTTACCGCACCCGAGAATGCCTCGACCGATGCCCCAACCGATGCCCCAACCAGGAATGCTTCAGAGAGTCTTTGTGCGGTAATGAGGTTGCTCCTGGAAGCTAACTGTCATCATAATCATAGACTCGACTACCAGTGACGCCTGTTTGCAAACTTGCCGAGGTTATCTGGGGTTTTGATATGGCATCATGTTTGGCGGCTTTGTTAGTGCTGCTTTAGGATTTCGAGCAGATGAGTCAAGAGCATTTTTGTGATAGATATCGAGGATACAAAAGAGCTGGCATCTTGTCATAATTTCCTTTCTGACTTTGGCTATTTCTCTCGTGAGTCGTGACACCGTGATCCAGTTCGTTATCCAGCCCGGCTTTCACCATCCCAACGTATTCCAACTTCCTTCTCGATCAACACTTCCACTCACACCTGTCAAGATACTCATGACGACATCACCTGTTCCCCCACGGTTTCTCTCCTCGGTAAAACAGACACTGGACCATGAAGCCAAGGCCAATACGACGGTGCAGGAAGAGAATAAGCCGTTTTGTCCGTAGCCCTGAGCCTCATCTTCGTCGATCCGGGAACTGGATCAAAGTACCGCATTGGTTCCGCTGGCCGGGCCAATCACGCCGACAAAACCCGTTGCAGACGTGCTTCCTGAAAAAGTTGCTTATCCCATCAGACCCCAAATCAGTCATGCCAAACTCCTTCTTGTGCGAGGGAATAGCCGGATCCGTCAGGATAACCTCGTGCGAATAAACACCGCCCTGAAGGTCGCAAAGCACGTACTGCCCGCCGGTGATATGATAGCGAAAGTGGCTCAGAGCTTGCATGGCGAGAGGCCAAGGCCTACGATCATCGGTTACCCACCCAAGATTGCTGTTGAACATTTGGTGATTCTCAATGAATGGCTCGACAAGGACTGTCTGGCCTCGCCACTCTGGACTAGAAGCCTCATTGGCCGTCCATACGCCAGGTATGTTCAGTTTGACTCCAAAGTTGATAACCTTGAACTCGTTGAAGAGCTAGACGATCTCGAGGGCTTTGTTCACGGCTTTGATGTCGAGATGTCAATTGTAACTTTCATCCACAGCACCTTTTTTGTACCGTTTGTGGCCTCCATCAGCACATACCAAAGATAGAGATGATGCGAGCTCACTCCTCACGAAGATTCGTTTTTTGTTATATGGGAGGGAAATCCAAAAGAGCTGCCATTTTGTCATAATGTCCTGACAGTCCACCTGATAATTTCTTCATTGCGCTACCTGTTTCCTACATTGCCGGTCTATTCCCGTTCTCATTTCCTAATTCCTGTAGCTTTCGTTCTCGCAATAAGGGGCCAAACGTGTTGCCATGGCTCGTCCTGCATGGCGGCGTGCTTCTTCAAATCTAGAGAAAGTACCGTGTGTTGGTGGGTTTTGAACCAGCCGTCGGGACACGGCGCGCCATCATCGAAGTACCAGGACCGGATTAAGTGCCGAACCGGGTTGTGTGGGGCAGTCCGAGTAGGGCGACAGTGCTCATTGCAAACGTGCTGGCTGAAAAAGGAACTGATGCCATTGGGGCCGAGATCTGTGACACCGTACTGTTGAGTTGGGGATAGAATGACGGGATCGGTCAAGACAACTTCGTTTTGGTAGATGCCTCCTTGGAGATCACAGAGAACAAAGTTTCCCCCTGAAATGTGGTAGCTGAAATGGCTCAACGCCTGCATTGCCAACGCCCATGGTTTGGACTCATCAGTCCAACCTGAGTTGCTATTGAACTTCTTGTAATTCTGAATGAATGGTTCAACGAGGCTTTTCTGGCCCGCACGGCTGTTATTCCCCCCCCAGACCCAAACCTCCGGTACGTTTACCTTCACAGTCTTGTTCAGTATGTTCAGCTGATTGAAGTGATTGATGATCTCCAGCGCCTTGTCCACGGACTTGATGTCGAGAGTGAAATAATCGCTGTCCATAGTTCCGCCGGCCTTGAACCACTTGCAAACACAAGCCTGACCTTGGCGCCCACCGTCCACATATGCTCCTTTGGCGACCCAGCGGAAGGCGCCTTGCACAAAGGGGTTAGCCATGGAATTTTGGGTGAACTTCGCCTCGTTAGCCCTGTTGTAACGGCCGCTGTCACTTTGGATGGCGGTCGGTGTATCGTTTCGGTGGCTGTGGACACAAGCAGCACAACACGAATCGCCCTCACCCCTTGAATACTGGTTGGCGGTGTAGGACGACCTGGGCAGACTGCGGCTGCAGCTGATACAAGCGCGACTACTCATCTTGTGATGATGGGTAGATATGGTAGGTCAGGTTGTGTGATGGGTGATGTGCGAAAGGCCTGTGGCTGTTCGGTCGGGTGGTGTGTAGAATCCTGTTCCAGGATATCCCTACAACTTCTAGGATTTTGGAAAAATGTTGCTCTCAGCATATTGGGGAACAGTACTTACCTGCGCTGCGGTACCTTTCGGTCAGTCTGGCTGGGTCAACCCCCTCGATGAAAGTTGAGATGGGATGGCGGGATGACCAGATGACGCGCAGGGAAGCTGGGGAATCGCCGAAAGCAGGTGACCGGGGGATTGTTTGATAAGAGATTAGATTAAACGTTTCACGGGGAATTCAAAAGGGCTGGAGAGGGAAAGCTGACCGCCAAATGATGCAAATGAGCAAGCGCAGTGCAATGGACCGGCCCACTTTCAACAACTGCAAGTGGCACCAAACACCACTCGCTGCAACCCGATGTAAGTCAAAACCTGTGGGGCACCAAAGGGCCCAGGTTTTCCCAGACCCACACCGGTTTGCTCTTGGGGCTGGATTTTCTTACTGTTTACTTTTTAACCAACAACCAACTACTGTAATACCAATTTGTTTACTATTTTTTTCTGGCCAATTTTGGCCTCATTTTCGCAGCCAGTGACTTTCCTAGGTCACCAGCCCAACAGGTTATGAGCTCTTTTGACGCTTAAATCACCAAGCAAACCGAAGTCGACGCCCTCGTCGACAACCCGACCTCGCAAGGCCGAATACCACACCGGACCTTACGACTTTTCGACCCTTGTCAGGCCAATATCACGCAATTAGACCTTTCGACGGCGATTTTAGAAGCGTTAAGAGAGTTAACCAACTTCCCAATCAACGGAAGCCTGGTTTTAACCCTGACCCTCATCTTGACGAAGAGTTGAAGCGACCGACCACCCCTCACCGATAAGAGTGTGGTTTACGGCGCCAACCTTCTCCTGGCCAAGTTTCCTTGGTTCTGCCATTTTTGCGACCTTTTGGCTGGGAAATTACTGTTTTCCGGCAGCAGTCGAGAACTCTGTCCTGCCTTATCAGGAGACCGATAGCGGAGCAAGCATCTCGCCCTCTGCCCAAGTCAATTCAACCCACTGTTGGCGGCCACAAAGTCAGGTGGCGCCTTTCTTTGAGTCTTTCTTTCGACGTCTTTCTCACAGCGTCTTTCTTACGACTTCTCTTTGACCAGTTTTTCTTTCAAAATGGCTGGCACTAACGTCACCATGGCCCAGCTCTTGGAGCTTGTGAAAGCTATGGGGAATGCCAACACCGTCGCTACGGTTAGGCAACGAACCTTTCAAGCCTTGCCGGCTCTGAACTCAGAGACCGATCTTTCCGGCTGGGAATTTCAGTTAACCCAGTCCCTTATGTACCATGGCTTAGAGGACTACATCAAGGCTAATATACAGCCACCAGCGGAAGAAGGGACACCTGCCTTCGACCAATGGCGTACTAACAACCTGGACATCCAG